GTGCAACCATCGCAGAGCGTTTCTTCCTGCAGAGCTGTCGGCTCTAAATGAGGCCCGGTTGGTCAGTGACGGGAATAAACCCGACAACGCTGTGGTTCTGAGTGTGTTAGTGACAGATGGCAAACGCTTCAATTCAGAATGACGCCTTCACTGGCCCTGAACGTTAGAAGAAGGAAAGTTGTGAAACTGTGTTGCCTTGCAGGTTGCTGTTCTGTGTTCGGGCTCGTAGATGAAGCTGAATTATTTCTGTACATCCACGCTGACAAGCTTCCTCTCAGCACTGCGGAGGTTCTCAGAACGTCGACCACAGATGCTAAATGTGTGCTGCACGTTACACACCAGCAGTATCACTGGTCTCAGCTGTCAGCGGCCTCGTCGGCTGTGTGGCGAAGATCTGTCCAGGTCTGGTGTTTCGTGGATGAAGAGGCGCCAGGGACACTTTTATAGGAACAAACATGTGAATGGCTCACTTTATGTGGCGTCAAGATTACTCTGAATTAAAATGTTGTTGGTCTAGTTGAAGTTAATGAATGTGTCTCCTGGATTTTGGAGACCGTAAAACTGTAACTGTGGAGACATGTGAGACTTTCGTTAATGTGCTGTAGAGACACAGTGAGGGACCTTTAACCGTAGACCTTTAAAATTAGAACATCTTGGAAAAGTTTGTTAATTTAAAAGGTCATGAAAATGATAATGAGCTATGAGATGACTTGTTGTAGTAAATATACGCTATACAAATAAAATTGAATTGAAAAATTGAATGGATAAATCCAGGGCATTAAATTATTAGAATATTTTTGGATTAAATTACAAAAAAAGAGCTTTTTCTCTGTGTTTTAATTTTTGGAGCTGCACCTGTCGGACGGAGAGAACCAGAATTTTTTTTTTTTTAAAGATTTATTTTTGGCCTTTTCCACCTTTATTGATAGTGACAGTGTAAGCTAGACAGAGAAACGTGGGGGAATGACATGCAGCAAATGAGCCACTGGGTGGAATCGAACCCAGGCCGCTGCGTTGGGGACTGTAGCTCCTGTACGTGGGTCGCCTGCCCTACCTGCTGAGCTATCCAGGCATTTTATCATGACCTCATCAACACTGTCAAGTTCATCACAGCTCGATTGTTTCTGTTGTTTTCTTCTGTCAGTGTCTTTTTAAATTGTGTTCACTGGTTTGGCGGAAGTCGTGTTTTGTCTCCTCGTTAATGTGACGGGACTCTTGTGCTTCAGGATACAGAGAGGGGTTTCTATGGAAACGGGGACGAGACAATGGACAGTACCTGAGCCGCAAGTTCATCCTGTCGGAGCGAGAAGGTGTTCTGAAGTACTTCAACAAGAACGACGTGAGCGCACACACGTCCTGATGCTTCTTTTGAATTCCACTCAAAATGCTGTGAAATGATTTGTGTTGTTAGAACCGGATGTTTCACCATATTTAAAACCATAAATGAAACTAAATAGCGTCTCCGTTGTTCTTACATCACGTCACCGACTACAAATGTGTTTTCTTCCTGCAGGCCAGAGAACCCAAAGCCATAATGAAGATCAACAGTTTGAACGCCACTTTCCAGCCCAGTAAGATCGGCACCCCTCACGGCCTGCAGATAACCTACCTGAAGGACAACAGCACGAGGAACATCTTTGTTTACCACGAGGACGGGAAGGTGAGGAGCAAAGTCCCTCTGGTGGAGACGTTTTTAAATACAAGTCAGTGCAAAGCTGACGTTTGCTGCTCAGTAGGAGCTGCAGACTCTTATTCTGAAGTGATCCTAATTTCCTTTCAGAATTAAAATACCGAAAAAGTACATAGAACTTGGGTGCAGTCCCATTCAGTGCAATATTCCATTATGTTTGGATTCATTTGCAGTAACTAAATTGCGCTCGCTGTGTAACGGAAAAGTAAAACAAGGTGGAGGAAAAGAGGCATGAAGGTAGAAAGCATGCGTTTTGTTCTTTAGCGTCTGAAAGCAAGCAGTTATTCAGGCTTTGCTGTACTTTTCCTGTCATTTTTTCACACCATGCGTCCTACAAATACACAATCACCTCTTCAATCTGTGGAAAATGTTTAAGTGAAGACATCCACATTCAATGCATCATCGATAACATTCATTAAATGTCTTGATACCTGTCGTCTACCACTGCTTAGAGTGCGACTTAATCCAGTAAAAATAATCAATTTGTATGCGGTTCCTGTGGTGAGGAATGAAGGCTTGTGTGTTAAACCAGACGGAGAATGTTATGGTTGGTGACCTAATGTGGGACTGTATGATAGTAATTTGCTGCAGAGGTCAAAGGTGGATGCAGGTGGATGCAATCTCCTGCGAGTTGTCAAACAAAAGCCTCTTTTTCTCTCCTAATGGGTGCTGTGTGATGTTAACCTGTTAAACTGCTGCTGTAAATGAGCAGATCCCGTGTCAGTAACTGTCCTTCCTGCCGTGTTACAGGAAATGGTGGACTGGTTCAACGCCATCAGAGCGGCCAGGTTTCACTACCTGCAGGTGGCTTTTCCTGGATCTCCCAATTCTGAGGTGAGTGGCACACGAACTTAAATACATGTCTTGATTTTTGTTCTCAAGTTTGTGCAGACTGAGCAGACTCCGGCTGTTTGGGTCAAAGACACACGACGACTCAAACCTCTCAAGCTGCAGCGTGGTTTAGTCTGAACGCACGAGAGAACTTTATTCCTCAGCAGACATGTGAAGGAACACGTGGAATCAACCCCGGCTCGGTTCTTTGAGGCCACGTTTAGCCGGGTATTTACAAAAACGTATCCACGTTTATAAAATAACATTGTTTACACCAGATCATTTTCAAAACAATCTTTGTTTCCACAAACCCACATAAACACGTTGTTTAGAGCTGCTATGAGCTGCCAGGCCGATAGGGGGCAGTGTAACGAGAAGCACAAAGCCATGCTCGCCAATCAGAATCCTGGAAAAAGCACAACAACGAACGGCACGAATTGCTTCCTTTTACTTCAGTGATAATGGCGCGAGTGTTGTTTGTTTGTTTGGGTCGACAGAGAAGCTCCCCCACATAAGAGAACATTTCTGAATGTAAACGTTACATTTGTGCAACAGGCCAAAAGCACAAACGTACAAACAAGCACGGCTTTAACAGCATCCATTTCTGATGATTATGACAGTAGCCAAACTGTAATCATGGTCGCACACATATGACGCTGACGACGCTTTTGTCGCATACTGTGACGTCAAACTCCGTCTCCTCGTCTACATGCAAACGTAAAGACAAAATGATCGTTTTCAGTGACTCGTAGCTTTGTTTACGTGTAAACCGAAGGCCAAAACGCATTGAAATATCTCCATTTTTGCTACGTGTAAACAGGACATAAGTGTGACCGTGAGCTCTCGTTAATGTGGTCGTCATTAATGCACCTGTGCATCCGACTGTAATCACTAGAAACATTTTCTGCTTCCCAACCAGGCACCATTATTACCCAAATATTGGAAAAGGAAAAACTAAAGCTAAAGAAAACACAGCTGGATCAGTACTTCTAATATGCCGATGAGACCTGAATCCACGTCTCTGCTCTTTGTTGTCTAGTTGTTGCCGAAGCTAACTAGGAACTACGTGAAGGAGGGTTACATGGAGAAGACCGGTCCGAAGGTGATTCATTTCTGTGTTTCGCTATATTTGTGTTTGTCGAATAGCAACTAAAAATGCCGGGTAGAGCTCATATTATGGAGGTGAAGTGAACCCGTTCTGTTTCTGTCCTGCAGCACACAGAAGGCTTCAAGAAGAGGTGGTTCTCGATGGACGACCGGAGGCTCATGTACTTCAAAGATCCGTTGGTATTAAAGCTGCACCACACCAGGAACATGCTGTAGTTACACGCTGTGACCAGCAGGCGTCGCTGTGTTGTTTCTGTACATGCGTTCACAGCTGCCGACAACATTTGTTTTCATATTTTGAGACACACAACTGTCTCTGTGCAGAGTTATCAGGGTTTAGAGGTGTTTCCTGCAGCTC